GTGTACTGCGCGGCTTTTAAAATTCCACCTCACAGCAGAACCCCCTGGTACACGCACAGCTCGATCAACTTCAGACAGTAGTGCTGATCTCTTACATGAACGTGAGAAAAAATTGTGGAAGGCATCGAGATTGGCAAAAAACAGTTTGGCTGCTTGGATGTTGTTTGGGCCTTGTGCTAAAACCAAATTTAATTTGTGAGCATAGCAGTGGATGAATAGCGCATTGGGGCAGTGTGCTTTCACTAAAGCCTGAACGCCACCGTGCTGTCCACTCATGCAGCTTGCTCCGTCATAAGTCTGACAAATCAGTTTGTTTGTTGGGCTGTAGTTCCCGATGGCTCTCATGACAACTGATGTTACAGCTTTTGCATCTCTTTCTAAGCTGACATCAAAAAAGCCGAGGAAACGTTCACACACACTGCCTTTTTCATTCACATATCTGATTATGATAGTGAGTTGGCACTTATTGGAGATGTCTGATGTGTCATCCACTTGTACAGCAATGAAAGGAGAAATGTGTATTTCTTTATCAGTCTCATCCTGGATACAACGAGCTATGCTCTCAATTATGTCATTTTGTATGGTGTTTGACATACCACTGAAGACTGTTGACGATCCCAAGTGCTCCGCGAGTGCAGTGTCAAACTCTGCAAATGCACGTACCAGCTCTACAAAATTGCCCCTGTTAGAGCTGCCAGCGGCCTCATTGTGTCCCCTGAATGTTTGCTCTTGACGTGCAAGGTACAGGGCAGCAATGATGAGTTTCCTCAGAATATCCCGGTTCTTTTTTACTTGTTCGTTGTGCTTCTTTGTGCTAATGGTTCTTGCTACATCCAGAGCCTCGTCAATCCTGACGCGTCCAAAAAGCTTTAATTTCACAGCACAATCTATATGATTTTTAGATTTACCGTGCCTCTCAATTGCCCGTGACAGGTTGGCAAGGTCGATGAATCCTGAAGTTACCCAAGGATTGTTCAGGGAGCACGAACCCTTGTCAAAAAGAAGACATGGCCAGCAAAATAGACGCTGAAGTTTAGCGCTTCCAGTTAGCCACTCCGTGCGGACATAATTGTCCTCATTGAACGTCCGATTAGATCCCTTATTCCTCTGTGTACACAGCTCGAGTGTGGGCGTTGTCCTGCCATCTGCTTTAATTTTTAGTTGCTGCTGTAGCGGAAGTTTAGTGAAGTTATGCTTAATTAAGTACGCCAAATCTCCTCCCTCCATAATGCTTCATTTGCTTGATCATTTCTAACGGCGGTGATGACAGTTACAGTATTCAAATTGATGTTGATGTGATTGGATGGCAGTGTCCAATCAAATCGCCAGCCGCCCCTGAAGGGAAGCTAGAGGCGGCTGGCTTCCCCTGGCATGGCCCTGACCAATCACAGGTTGGCAGGGGCATCACGTGGGCCTCATCTGATTGGTTAATCCCTCAATTTTTTTTCACCAAGGGAAGCTAGATTCTGCTGGCCTCCTCTCGCAACAGTGAATGCAATCTACTGTTTCACCATGACATCTAGAGGGGCGCTGTTTCACTCTTTGTAAAATACTCAATGAGAATGGGGGAGAGACGGTCCGGCAGGAACACACAGGAAAGTAGAATTACAGAAACAAAACAAAGTGTTTTTATTTATTTAAGTTATAACTACAATCCGAAAAAACAGGGGAAGCCTGGCTTCCCTTGGCCTCCGGGAGAAAACGCCACTGGTCCCAATGGCCTTATTTCTGCCGGAGGAGCGAGGAGCGATAATCGAGGAGCTATAACCGAGGAACCACCAGACCATCCTTCGATGAAATCCTCGTCGACACTCACCCCGCCCCCTTACTGTGTATCGCTCACTGATTGGACGAGGCAGCGCATGCACTGATCTCATGCTTCTTGACATGAGAGCAGTTTCTCAGCGGAGTGAAGAAAATACATGAACCTCACGGGACTCACTCCTCAGTTTATACCGTGTTTTGTTTCAATTAATGTATCATTTAGTTACAAATATATATATCTGAACAACAAAGTGGTCAAAAATCATTTAATTCATTTATTGGAAACATTTTCATGATCGCTTTTTTCGTTTTACATTTTCATTTATTGTCATTTCCATTCAGTCATTAAGTGCTATTACAATGTTAATGTGCTACATATCCAAACAAACAAAGTGTGCAATCCAATGAATGTTAATCTAACTGGGTTTTGATAGATAACATACATCTTTTACTTCTCTCAATTATTTTATTTCTATTGTGCACTCTAATCAATATTAATCAAACTAATGTTCGTTTATACATTTTAAGAATGGCGTTTATCTTTTTTGAGAATTAGTTCTTATTTAATTGTATTTATTTGGGTCTACAACAGATGATACAAATGTTTGTGTCAGTAAATGTGAGCTAACAGAGGCGGGGGTGTGTGTGGAAATAACGGGGACAGAGCTGATGTCAGACGATCAGCTGTGCGGCGTCATCACAAACGGACGTCGCTTCACGTGACGCTCCGGAGGAAAGGACGATTTCCCTGGCTGCTTCTCAGGTCGATTAAATGGATTCCTTGCGTCGTTTCCCTGCGTTTAGTCCCTCCCACCAGGGAAGCATGGAGGGACGCAAGGAAACCACGAGAAGCAGGGAAATGAGTTTTAAGAGCAATGGGACGTCCTTTCCTCCGGAGCGTCACGTGAAGCGACGTCCGTTTGTGATGACGCTGCACAGCTGATCGTCTGACAGCAGCTCTGTCCCCGTTATTTCCACACACACCCCGCCTCTGTTAGTGCACATTTACTGACATAAACATTAGTATCATCTGTTGTAGATCCAAATACATGAAATAAAATAAGAAGTAATTCTCAAAAAATATAAACGCCATTCTTCAAATGTATAAACGAACAATAGTTTGATTAATATTGATTAGAGTGCACAATAGAAATAAAATAATTGAGAGAAGAAAAAGAGATATGTTATCTATCAAAACCCAGTTAGATTAACATTCATTGGATTGCACACTTTGTTTGTTTGTTTGGATATTGTAGAGTTATATTTGTATTTATTCATGTTAGCAAACTATGGATAAGCTTAAAATGAGAATAATTTGGGTAAAACTGTGAGCTGGATTTGGGGCCTTTTGACATGTGTTTTTGAGGACAAAGGAAGATGGGGGGTAGGTGAGAGCATGTCTTGATTTGCATTCAACTTATCTGGCTACAGTGGTTGGGGAAACCTAAGATCGGAGGTGTCTGTGATATTTGGGCGGCCAATCAATGAGCTCCAAATGGGAGGATCTGATAACTCCTCCCATTGTCAAATAGTATAAACAGACACACACGCGGTGTTCAGCCTCTTTCCTCTGGCTGGCTCACGTGCAGGTAAATTCGGGATCCCAGGGATTAACTGTGTTGAATTTGTACTGTATTGATTGTATTGTATTGTCATATTACCATTAAAGTAGATATTGTTTACTTGGTAGCTCTGGATTCCTTCCTGTATTAACCAGCTTGATAGGGACGCGCGGAGATTTGAAAAGCGGACTAGATATCCCTTTTAATCTCTAACAATATGTAGCACATTAACATTTTAATAGCACTTAATGACTGACTGAATGGAAATGACAATAAATGAAAATGTGAAACGAAAAAAGCGATCATGAAAATGTTTCCAATAATTGAATAAAATGATTTTTGACCACTTTGTTGTTCAGATATATCACATATTTGTAACTAAATGATACATGAATTGAAACAAAACACGGTATAAACTGAGGAGTGACTCCCGTGAGGTTCATGTATTTTCTTCACTCTGCTCTCATGTCAAGAAGCATCAGATCAGTGCATGCGCTGCCTCGTCCAATCAGTGAGCGATACACAGTAAGGGGGCGGGGTGAGTATCTGAGGATTTCATCGGAGGATGGTCTGGTGGTTCCTCGGTTATCGCTCCTCCATGATCGCTCCTCGATCCTCGGTCCTCCGGCAGAAATAAGAGCCATGGGACGGTACTCAAGATGGCGCAGGCAAATCAACTTCCGGTGAGACAGAGGACCGAGGAGCGAGGAAATGAAAATAGTCGACCTGAGAAGCAGCCCCTGCTTCTCGTGGTTTCCTTGCGTCCCTCCATGCTTCCCTGGTGGGAGGGACTAGTCACAGGGAAACGACGCAATGAGGGACACAAGGAATCCATTTAACTGAAGTGAGAAGGGCCCCAGTCTCCTGACCAACTTCCTCAATGTTCTCCTGAGTCTTCAACAGACTCTTCCTGTTTCTGTATCATTACAAGACATGTTCTGTATATATGAGACCTGAAAAACAGTATAATAGGGGACCTTTAAATAACATTAAAATGTAAACCCTGAGCTTTGAACACTTTAACAGCTCATATGAAATCAACACATTTAAAAAAAAAACAAAAAAAAAAACAATGTAATTGAACCCCAAAATAAAAGAACAATCTGCACAAACATCTTCTATTGTTGTTATATTTATTAAATTCAAAGTTGTTTAAATCACAAATAGAACCGGTACTTTAGTAACCAACATACAGTAATTAATATATACTGTATACGTTTACACAGTGAGGCACACACAGAATACATTTAATTAACATTTTATTTGAAAATCAAGTCTAAATACAACTAAAAAACACTAAATATGAAAAGTGGAAGAGAGGGTGATGTAGGAAGGAAGAGGTGAGGGAAATTGAGGAGAGAGTTTGGAGTGAAGGGAGGCGAAGTATTGAGGAAGGAGGTAAAGGATGGAGTCAGGAGAGAGATGGTGAGGGAGCAGGAAGTAGGTACAGTTAAAGGGGGAGGGACTTCAAGTGAGTTTTTTTACATCCATTATACAGATTGTGGGAAAACCTGAGCTCCAGGAGAAAACCCTGAGTATGAAAATGGGAAGGCAGGAGGGGGTGAGGCAGGAGGAAGGAGGTGAGAGAAAGGGAGGAGGGAGAGAGGAGAGGAAAAGACAGCTACTGACGTCCAGCCTCCTCCTTCTCCTCCTTCTCCCCCTTTGCTTTCTTTCTCATCTCCTCTCTTCCATCTTGTGCAGCATTTTCTGCAAAACGACGTCCCTTTCCTCAGTCGCCCTCCTGCGAGCGAAGAATCCTCTGCTCTTATTCTTCCTGTGAAGACACAGGTCCTCCAGAAGTGTCTTCTCTTCCCCCATCTTCTTCTCTTTGGTCTCCCAGCTCAGTCGCGTCTGAGCGAGGTTGTCCCTCTCCTCCTTCGCCTCCTTCAGTTGAGTCTCCATCAGATGAACCGTGGTCTCCCAGCTCTGGTGTTTCTGGCTCAGGTCTTTGGAGCACTTCTCCTTCTGCTCCTTCATCTCCTTCTCAAGCTGATGGACTCTTGTCTCCCAGCTCACGTTGTTCTCATCCTCTGCCTGATGTAACTGAGCCTGAATGTCTTTGAATTCAGTCGCCTGGCTCTGAAGTGTCTGAGCCAGGTCTTCCTTCTCCTGAGTGACCTCTTTTATTTCGGTCTCCATCGAACTGGCCTTGGTCTCCCAGCTCTGGTGTCGTTTGGAGAACTCTTCCTGCTGCACCTCCATGTCCTTCTCAAACTGCTTCACCAGCAAGACATTCAGTGTGACGTCCAACTCCAAGCTGCGGTTCTCCTTAGCCAGCTTCTTCTTGGATTCCTCCACCTGTTTCAATGTCTTCTCCATCTCTCTCCTCTCGCCCTCCAGCTGATGTTTCTCACTCTCCCAGCTCAGCTGTTCCTCGGCCAGGTCTTTGGAGAACTTTTCCTCCTTCTCTCTCATCTGGTCTTTCAGCTGTTTGACATCCGTCTCCCAGCTTGTGTTCTTCTTTGCCAGATCCTCGTTCTCCTTCTCCACCTGTTTTAGTTTGGCCTCCATCGGTTGTTGGTCTTCAGAGTTGTTTTCTCCCTGCTTTTCCAACTGGAGCACCAGCTTCTGGACTTCCTTCTCCAAGCTGTGGATTCTAAAGGTCTGCTGACTGTTGTGCTTCATCACCCCTTTCACTTTGCATTCCATCTTTCGTTTTTCCGTCTCCAAGGTGTGGTTTCTAGCGGCCTGGTAGTTTTTCTCGTCCACTACATACTTCATGCCTTGTTTTCCATTCTCCCAGCTCTGTTGTTTCTCAGCCAGGTCCTTGGTGGACTTCTCCTGGCTCTGAAGGAGTTCTTCCTCTCTTCTTTTCAGCAGGTTTATGGTCACCAGGTTCTCGTCCAGCTGCTGCTTGTGTCGAGCCTCTTTAGCTTCCATCTCCTCCTCCAGAGCGCCGTATCTTTCCTCCAGAGCGCCGTATCTTTCCTCACAGACTGTCAAACACTCAAAGAGTTCATCTCCTCTCATCACGAGCAGTTTGACGGTCTCTGCGTCAAACTGCAGCAGACTTTCATCGTTCTGGCTGTGGGATGTCTCCTTGCTGCTCTGGTCTGACTGTGTTCTATCCATGGCGCTGTCTGTGGACTTGTGTTGTGCGTAGGAATAGAAATCTACGTGTGTACGTAATACGTGTTTTGTCGGGAAAACTGTGAAGTTAGTTTGCTCTGACTGAATACGTGTACCACTCACCGCTCTGAACTGAAGAACTGAAGAATGCCTGCACTTCAGAGCTCTCGCAATCTCAACTTGAAGGCCATCTGTGATGTCATGTGATGAGGTCATCGCGTACTCTCATCTGTGAATATGTCATTCCATTAAGGTCACATGTGATTCCGTTAAGGTCACATGTGATTCCATTAAGGTCACATGTCATTCCATTAAGGTCACATGTGATTCCGTTAAGGTCACATGTGATTCCGTTAAGGTCACATGTGATTCCGTTAAGGTCACATGTGATTTCGTAGTCAAATGCAATTAATTTGTCCCACTTTATGACTTTATAGGCAGAATAAATGTTGTGCTTTAAGGTCTTTACAGTTACACAATGCAAACATTTAATTTGTTTTAATTGTTCCTGATGTTGTTTTGAGTCAAAGTCACATGCTTCTTTGTAAGCACACATGTCTTTTCTGTCTTTATTAACATAAAATATATAATTATTTATTATAAGTGCATTATTTGTGTGTTTGTTTCTACTTAGACACACTTAAAAAAATACTGACATTATATACAGATCAGTTGATTTTAATTGATTTTTGCACTATTTCACTAAATATAATCGTGTTTGAAGCATTAAATATAAATCTCACTATGTGTTTTACATCGTTGTGGTACACCAGGCGTCTGAAGGATGATGCTCCAACATTAAAGCTATTTGGTTTGATATATCAAACGTATTGAATTAGTCATATTTCAAATAACAGTTTGTAAATGTTTTGTACATATTGGGTACCAATTATAAATAACTGCTACTGGTTGGTAGAGTGGAAGAAGTACAGGGACTTAGGGGGTAGTACATTTGTTATTAAGAGGTAACTAGAAATAAAACACACCCTTAGTACGATTCAAATGACTGGTATAGTTTATATTGAATCATTACAGGGTATAGACAGAGGACAGCAAGCCTTATAGGTCCTTTTGTAATAGAGCGGTGCAGGGATGACGTCTGTTTGTTAGCAAACTTGGATGTTAGCATGTTAGCATCGCAATGGTTCCCTCAAATAAAAGTCAATGGGATTTTTCAAATTGGCTTTTGCACTATTTCAGAAAATCAGATCTGTGGCAAACAAATGTTGATGATACTTACACGTTTTGTCCAGCACTTTAGAAACAGGGCTGAAACAGAGGGGATCATGGGATGCTGCAATGATCTGTTTGGTATTTGGAGCCAAACAGACACCAAATAGTGTGCTGCTGCTGGCAACACCACACACACTCAGAAGTCCTGTCCGCACAGAAACAGCTGTTGCTTCTACACAGCCAAACTGGAAGGGCAACTGCAAACAACGGATCTGCGTTAAAATGTTTCGGACACTCTTGGGGCTCTAAATATTAAACTGTATAGGTTTTATTAACCAACCTGATCATCCATGTGTGATATGATCAGTGTGCTGACACATGCATATCCCAGCAGAAGCAGCAGGCTCACACACAGTCTCTGAGTGTGTGTGAACGCGTTGGGGCAGCTGTACAAAGATATCCAGATGTGGTAATCGGCCAAATAGTCTGATAGCTTGAGACTCAGCGTCTGCAAGGGGGGGAGATATTAATATTTGTTTTTTGTATCTGAGTGTATGTGTATGAGGACTCTGTACCTCATACAAGCCTATTCCACGAGTGCATTTTACCAGAATCCTCTCCACCCGCCCGTCACTTTGGTTCACAGCCAACCAGCACTGAGCCACAAAGAGCCACGCACGTCCCTTCAGCTGCCCTCTGCATTAAGAAACACGCAGATCCCCAACACTTTACCCGGAGAACGACATATGACTGATCCTGTGTTACCATTTTATCCCAAAGGCCATAAGACTGATGAACCTCTGAGCTCTGTGCCTTCACAACTTCATACCATCTGTTCGCATCTCACATGTTTATCTATTATTACAATAAGCAGTATTTAAATTACAGCATTTCATTTTTCATTCTAGTGAACCCTGAAATGTTGAGTACCCCAAAGTGTTATGATAGTAATGTATAGTAGGGGTCCCAAGTACATAGAAACTGCCGGATGCTAACTTGCATATGTTGGGCACTTTGCACAATTAGCATAAATGGAGTTAATTAAGATGAATGGCATTATAGCATATGTAAACAAAAGTAAAACAATGATGTGGCCGATTTGGAGTGGTTTTGGGGGGATTTTCAGGATCAATGATGGCAGTTTTAACCAGAAAGTGGCCATATGTGTACTCTCTCTGAGCTGATTTTGACTACCATGAGTAATGGTGCCACCATTGGATGTACAGAGCACAAGATGGAAATGATTACCTCTACTGTGGGCAATTCTTTTCAAATAAATAGGCAATCTGTCCAATACAAATACATTTCTAACTTTAGGGTACATTTCCGGGTTAACAACAGGACTCTATACGCTGACAACTAGACTATTTAGCTCATCTTATTATATTTTACTTGTATTTATTGAACTACTCCTGCATTATTTGCAACTTAGTCTATTTTATTTGTATTGTTTTATGCCTTATATCTATTTATATTGCATTGTTGGTGGAGCCAGGGAATGCCTCCATGAAAAATGAAGAATCCAACAAAAAGTGAAAATTCTTGAATGATTTAAAAAAAACTCTCACAAAACTTGCAGTACAATCCAACTCTCATTTATCCAGTCGTATATATTTCACAAACACGCCTGCAAAAATGTCATTAGTGTTCATGCAGAACGGTCTAAAAGAGTGAGGAGAAATTGCAAGTGTTTGTGAAGCAGTTACAGGATAAGTTAAATTGTGCAAGAGTTTGTAAACTGATAGTTTTAGTGTTGTGACATACTGCCGTAATTCACCCACAGGAAATAAGTCGAGAATTTTCTAATTTTTTTCGATTCTACCTTCACCGAGAAAAACTCATTTGTATTTCTGAAATGAAGGAAACAGGGGGTAAAGCAGGGATGTCCAAACTATGGCCCGGGGGCCAAATGCGGCCCGCGGACCGTTTTGAATCGGCCCTCAGCTAATTAAAAAAGTATAAAGAAATATGGCCAACAAATGAAACTTCTGCCTGTCTTGTATTGCACTTCTTAAATATACATGTTCTAATATATAACACAGTATTCGTGTGTAAATAAGAACCATTTTCAAATAAATTCAGTCAATTAAAGTTGAAAAGATTTTCTGACAAATCTAAGTTGATAAGAAAAAAGCCAAATAACAAATGTAAATAACGACCTTGAAATAGACCCTTCATATTTCCTCTTATTAAAAGCAATCTGAAGCTTCTGTTTTAGGGAATGAGCTGCTAACAAAATAAAGTAAACCCTCTGGAGAGCTGTGAGCTGTTGTGTTTCTTAAAGCATTTTCAAGTATCAAGAATAATTTACCTACATTTGATAGATGTTTCCAACTTATAACTGAACATATGAGGCGATATACCTCTCCTCTAGTGAGTGGCCCAGCCCTTCGTATATTCTTCTGTATGTGGCCCTCTGTGAAAAAGCTTTGGACACCCCTGGGGTAAAGGATGTGTGTGGTAATGTCACTCTTTACCTCGGACACGTCCAGGTGTTTGATGTTCCAGCTCGGGGAGGGTCCAGAGTTGTTGTGCCAGATGTGCACCCCCCACACAGGGCCCAGGCTGTCGGCTGCACTGTGGGGTCAGAGACAGACCTTCTTTATAAATGAGCAAAACCAGTTCAAAGCAGCTCAATAATTATGTGAGATTGATGTAAAACGCAGCTGTGTATTCACTTTGTGTGGAGTTTTGGGATTTCACCTGATGATAAAGGTGTCTTGAGAGTTCCTCCTGAACAGAGTGCATCCTGTAGTTCTCTTGTTTGTGAGAAACCATCTTCCCCTATGAGCACCATGTACACCTGTTAAACACATAGAGGTTTCCTTTAAATATCGGATGATTTTGGGTAGCTTAGTTTAATACAAGTCGAGGAAAACAAGGTCTAATCACAAAAAAAAGAGCGATATAGAAAAATCAGGAATAATACACTTTTTTTAAAGGAACAGAATTCAAGTTGTTGTTTGCCCTTTACTATCAGTAAGTTGTCCAAGGACGTTTGGATGTATATCACATTTGTTATCAAAGCCATCTGCTGGATTCTCATGGCCTTGCCAGTGACCTGTTTAACGTAGATATAAAGGCGGGAACAGAGTGAGACGTGTCTCACTTCTCTGTCTGAACAGCGATATTTCAGAATGAGGAGAGCTGCAGTTTTTCTGGCGTTGCTGCTCTGTCTGCTCTGGACGGGGGCTCAGGGTGAGGATGGAGGGGGGACAGGGATGAAAGAGGGGGAGTTTGATATCCAAGGAGTGAAAGCAGCCCTCGATCAGAGCAGCAGTCAGACCCAGATGAGCACTGACGTCTGGGCTGAGCTCCAGAGAGCGAATGCAGGTAAGTTACAGAAACATCATAAAAAGGGAAATGTTGTAACTATTAAGATACAGAGACATGTTTTTGTGTAAAATACAAAAGTGTTAAAGAGAGGTGAAAAGAGAAAATCTGATGAACATACTGATAAGATATCACGTGTGGTTGTTTGTCAGATAATGAGCTGCTTTTTGCATTGCAGATCTCCTGGCTCGAGTCACAGCAAGTGAGAATAAGAGCACAGGTAGGAGTACAAAGTAATCAAAGACAACATTGAGAAGATTTGTTGTGTTTTCATAAAAACTGAACATTTTTCCCATATTTAAAAAGCGGCCGAGCAAACATTTGAAAATGAACATGTTAGTATGGTAGAAACATTCTTGAATGTAAAAATTACAAAAACTGAAGATAAATGTTGACCATCATTTATATTTTACAATGTTTAAACTTGTTCAGCTTTAGAGGCCAGGATGAGCTCCAGTGAAAAGCAGGTGGAGGAGCTCCAGAGAGAGAACGCAGGTAAGAAACAGAAACTATTATTAAAAAATAAACATTGAATGTTTTTGTGTATAACGAAAAAGAGAGAAAAGAGAAGTGAAAGATATATTTCACAGAAACAAATTCAACATATTGATGAGATATATGGAGGTAACAGCTGTTAACCTGCTCTTCCTCTTTGTTGCAGATCTTCTGGCTCGAGTCACAGCAAGGGAGAAGAAGAGCACAGGTAGGAGTACAAAGTAACCAAAGAAGAATACAAAAAATAAAACACAAAAGTGAGAAAAGAGAAAATCAGATGAACATACTGATAAGATATAACGTGCGGTTTTGATCAGATAATGAGCTGCTTTTTGTATTGCTGATCTCCTGGATAGAGCAACAGCAAATGAGAAGAGGAGCACAGGTAGGATCCCCTCCCCTGCCTCATTACCAAGGCCCGGGACCCCCACTGACCCTCAGCATCGACTCTATGCATTACATTACTCCACACAATGCAAACAATATGTTGTTCCTTTCAATACCGTTAGTCCTGCACAGCGCTCCAAATGTTGCACATTGCACACAAAGATACCTCTTATATCTGCACGGGTTTCCACTTGTCATATTTGTATTTTATTTATACGGGTATATGTACATTTCATGTCAATATTGCTGTATTTTAATGTTATAATATAATATGTTACAAGAAAGATGGAAGAAATGACAAACAAGGTTGTTGTTGTTTTCATAAAAATGTGTGATGTGTAAAAGTGACAAAAACTGAAAATCAATATTGACCATATTTTTTAAACGTTTTCATTTGTTCAGCTCTAGAGGGCAGAATGAGCTCCAGTGAAAAGGAGGTGGAGGAGCTCCAGAGGGAGAACGCAGGTAAGAAACAGATTATGAAGAGTCAAAATGTTTTAAAGAAAGGAACTGGTATCCTGAGGAGAATATTAAATATCAATCTCTGCTGGCTATCAGAATCCAAACCACTCTTTTTTTGTTTTAATAGACAGTTTGTTAATGAGTTCTCATCGCTCTGTGAGCATCCTCCTCTTTCTCACAGACCGTCCTCAGGTGGCGTTCTCAGCCGGTCTCACTGATTCAGGATCAGTCGGACCCTTCAAGACTGATATCACACTGAAGTTCAGTAAAGTCTTCACCAATATCGGCCAGGCCTACAGCCCAACTACAGGTAGGCCTACTACACACACGTTCTTAATGAAAACATATCTTAGTAATCCTACAATGGATCATGGTAGAAAGTAGAACCAAGTCAAGAGCTCCTACATGCTCCTTATTTAAAAATCCATCCTTAAGTCCTGCTGAAGCACCAGAAACAATCTCCCCTCACTCATCTTCTCCTCTGATGCAGGTATCTTCACAGCCCCCGTCAGAGGAGTCTACTACTTCAGGTTCAACATGTGGGAGAGCCGCAGATCAACTTATACCTCTGTTGTATTATATCACAACAACCAGCGAAAGATGAGGCTTTCAGATTACATTGATCGATCTGGCGTGGTCTCTGCGTCTAACGCAATGGTTCTTCAGCTGGAGAAGGGAGATGTTGTCTACATCGTTCTGCCCTCCAACTACGGCGTTCGGGATGATTCGCATAATCGCATCATTTTCAGTGGATTTCTACTCTTTCCTCAGTGAAGCCCACTGTAAAACACCCACTGCATTACGTTTCAACATTACATATTAATAAAAAAGTGTGTTGACTCTATAAATATAATGTTTGTGTTTGCTTGGTTACATGAACAAGACACATAGATACAGTGCCCTGAAGTAAAATGATTGAAACAAAGAAAAATGTTGACTTTAAATACATCTTTTTCTCCAAAACACATGTGCCACAATTATTGGCACCCCTAGAAAATCCTATGATTAAAATCTAACTGAAGTATATTTCCAGTCATATGTTACATTTTTAGGTTCACCTGTTTGATTACACAGCAAATTTGAAATCTTAAAATTCAACACCCATGTAGTTAATTTTAACACTATGAAAGAGTTTATATAGAAACCACGAGCAAGTATTAAATTAACACTTTCCAAAGTGTTGACAATATAACACTATCACAGTGTTACTAACACTAAGAGTGTAAGATGTGAACACCAACACCGGTAAGAACAACACTAACAGTGTTGGCTGCAGCTTCAATTTTACACTGTCCCTAGTGTGGATTATGCGCCGGTGAAGATGGCCGCATTGTCTTTTGGCACAACGACAGACTACAAAGGAGCAGCAGGGGGTGCTCAACCCAGTCTCACATCTAAACGTGTAATAACTACGTTGGTCCACAACTTGGGACATAGTATTTCTACAAAAACACGTTTTTTTCACCATTCATTCCAATGGCTGGCGTCTATGTCACGTGATCTTCAAATTTCTCCCCGCAGAAAAAAAAAAACATGGCCGACCTTCGTTTTATTCTCGGTGGAAAATGCC